CGGGGGAGATAACTGATCTCATCAGTGGTCATTCTCTTCCAGGCACGCATTTGATGATGTGATATCACAGCCGGGGAGTCATTTTGTAAAGCCAGGGCCAGGCAGCCGGGGGCCAGAGGAACGGGACCACAGGGAGCAGAGGACCAGGGGGCTGGGAGCAAGCTGTCGCCTTCAGCCTCCCAGATCAGGCTCCGCATTAACCGAAGCATGGTGTGAACAGAGAAGATGGTGTGTGTGTGTGTGTGTGTGTGTGTGTGTGTGTGTGTGAGAGAGAGAGAGAGAGAGAGAGAGAGAGAGAGAGAGAGAGAGAGAAAGAGGGGGAGAGAGAGAGAAAGAGGGAGAGAGAGAGCGAGAGAGCGAGAGAGAGCGAGAGAGAGAGAGAGAGAGAGAGAGAGAGAGAGAGAGAGAGAGAAAATGAGCACCTCTATTTTAGGGCCCGAGAGGATTTCTATCTCCTGGAAAAAGCAGTGAACACCAAGGAAGGTGCGAACCCGGCAAATGGAAAGTTAGCAGAAACGGGAATTGCATTTTTATTTGATGGGAGAACCCTTTAAATGCAGAATACCCCCTGCCCGCCGCCACTAAGGCCTGACCCAGCTCGTTAATCCCTGCTGCTTAGCCGGGACCTGGGAGATTGCAATTCTCCGCCCCAGCAGCCCCTGTCCAATAAGCCCCGAGCCAGTGGGCAGGAACGGCATTGCTGGGAGCCGGGCTCCGGCCGCCTGGCCCCCCCCCCCCCGTGCAGCGAGGGGGGCCGTCACACCAGCCACGGCCAGCGGAGATCCCGTGCGTCCCCACCTCTTAGGAGAACGCGTGTGTTGGTTTTGTCATGGCTTTCACATGGCGGTGCTTGTGCATTGTGGGTGCTAGGCGTATAAATTAATTTTATTACTTCTTTCCTTGGGCGGAATTGACCTTTTCTCCAACAGCAGAGGCCTTGTTCTCTGAGGATATTTTGATCCAGTTTGAGGCTTAAGGGATAAAAATTGCGATCCGGACTTGATTTTCTGACTCGTCTCTTTGCTTTCCTTGCCTCTCGGACCTGGCTGGCTCTCTGTGGCCCTGGGTGGTGCCCTGATGGGGAGAGGGTGCTGCCGGCTAAGAGGCTGAGGCAAGCACAGGGTCTGTTACCTTAACGATCTCAGGAGCGACACAGGCACCAGCCGTCAGTTCCGTCTCAGTTACTATTCCACTTTGAAGAAGGCGGGGCATTCCGAGGACCGTGGCTTCCTAATGCCCGGTCTGCAAGGCACACTGGAGCTAACTGGCCGTTATTTCTGTGTGGCGTGTGGAATGTGGGTCCTTTTATAGCGCCTCCTACTCAGGCCGACTCCCACACGGGACAGTTATAGCCCAATTTACTGCTCAGGCGCGAGCTTCTGATCTATGGGATTAGGCCTCGGGAGCTAATGTGTTGCTATAAAATAAATCTGAAAATGTGGCGAGTTATACATATGTAAAGGAAAGCCTTTACCACGGTGTGTGTCTGTTAATGTGTATGTGAGTGTATGTGAGTGTGTATGAGTGTGTGTGTGTGTGTGTGTGTGTGTGTGACTGTGTGTGTAAGCCCCTGTGTTCATGACTTACTGTTCTAGGCAAGGACTTTACAGCATCATAAACTCAAAACATACATCTGAGTCCCTTTAATTGAGCCTGGAGGTTAATATGATATGTTTTGGAGTGATGTGAGCTTCGTGTTTTTTTTTTTTTTTTTTTTTTTTTTAATTTTTATTACACCTTGGGCTGTTCAGGATCCATGAATAGCTCTGTTTTGCCCCGGATGACTGCACGTCTGTTAATTTCTAAAGGATTTATGCTAACGACTTGAAGTCGGCTACTTCGGTAGTCAATGTGTAAGTGAAGACTAATTTTTCACGCAGCGAAGACTAATTTTTTACAAAGTGTTTCTTGCTGCCGAGGGGCTCCCAGTGCCCCTCCCTCTCACACATCCTCCGTCCCCGAGGCCTTACCGCCGCCTGGACACACGCTCTCCCGGTCACCGCTCAGTTTTATTGCTGCATGTACCTTCCTGCTGTCCACTTCCCCAGGAGAGCAGGGGCGGGCTCTGCTCTCTGCTCTCTCCTAGCCCCTGAGTATGCATGCCGACCCTCTACTAAAGGATGGGATTTGGTATCAGTTGTCCTGGGACCCCTGGGGAACAAGCAGATTCTGCAAAGTAGTTGACGTATCCTGTGCTTGGACTTGGGTCACTTACTACCGTGTTTCCCCAAAAATAAGACATCCTCCGAAAATAAGACCTAGAGCATGGAAAGATAAAACATCCTCTGAAAATAAGACCTAGCGCAACTTTGGGAGGAAAAATTAATATAAGACATTGTCTTATTTAGGGGAAACAGGGTAGATGTCCTCCCCCTTCCCCATTAGCTGGGCCCTGCGTGAGCGGCTGAGCAAGCCCGGCAATGCCTCCCCTTGTGGGGCTCACACTGCGATGGGTGAGGGGCGACAGCACAGGAGGACAGGAAGGAGGAGTGTAAGGGAGGAGGGTGAGGTGCAGAGCTGTACTGTGGGGGGAGGGGAGGAGGTGCACCCTCTTGGTCCCAGCAGACATGGCCGAGCTCGCCTCTCTGGTTTTAGCAGCAGAAAGGGCCCTGGTGCTGTTGGTGGTCCCGCCTCTGTCCTGGAGGGGAGCTTGGGAGGGTCCTCTCAGAGGGCCCCCTGCACACTGCTATTCCCATTGCAAGGGCACAGAGGGCTCCACAGAGTGGCTCTGAGGCTGGGACTGATTGTGGTCCCTCCAGATCACACCCTGCGTCACCCCTCGCCCCTGCTCAGAGCTGTGCTTTTCCAGCGCCCGGGACCCCTGTGCCACTGAATCTAATTTGCTGTCTCTTCTCCACCACCCGGGTCCCCCTCCTCAGCCTCAGACCCCCGGCCAGCTGGGAGGGAGGAGGAGCAATGCAGACCCCCCCCTCACCCCCTGCAGGGGACCCTCCCCTCCAGAATAAACGGAAGAGAGTGATTCCTGGCGCCCCGTGCTTTGCTCTTTAGACATGTTCCTGTTCTCCAAACGAGGAGGAATCTACTAGCATGCATCGCTTTTGGCTGGAGATACTAGTTTAGGATATAATTGTGAAATTTGTTTTTCTGGCCTGTTCCACTGTCTTATGCTATCGTCCTTAAATACACATCATTCTCTGCATCTTCCTTTATCATTTGTCAAAACATATTGCTGTTTTATTTTTGTTATTACCGCCAGAAAGAGATGAATCAGGCTTCCCAAAACTTCAGGCTGCGGCAGCACTTTTAATCTAAAAGGGGACCCTCCCGTTCTTTCTGAATCCAAGTTCCCTTGTCCCCCTTGCGATCCTGGCACAGTAGACACAGTAGACACCGGGATTCCTGGGAGGAAAAGGACTGGGGACTCTAACTTACCTCGTGAGTGACACTCCCTAGTGTGAATGCGCTGCCTCGGTGGATGTCATTGGTACTAACGGCTAACTGTTGTGAGCACGTGGGCTGCTGAGAGCACGTGGGCTGTGTGTGAGCACGTGGGCTGTTGTGTGAGCACGTGGGCTGCTGTGTGAGCACGTGGGCTGCTGTGTGAGCACGTGGGCTGTTGTGTGAGCACGTGGGCTGTTGTGTGAGCATGTGGGCTGTTGAGAGCACGTGGGCTGTGTGTGAACATGTGGGCTGTTGTGTGAGCACGTGGGCTGCTGTGTGAGCACGTGGGCTGTTGTGTGAGCACGTGGGCTGCTGAGAGCACGTGGGCTGCTGTGTGAGCACGTGGGCTGTTGTGTGAGCACGTGGGCTGCTGTGTAAGCACATGGGCTGTTGTGTGAGCACGTGGGCTGCTGTGTGAGCACGTGGGCTGCTGAGAGCACGTGGGCCTTCTATCCTGTCTCCATGTCCCCGATTCTCCTGTCCCCAACCTGGACAGCGCTCCTCACACTGCCAGCTCCCGCTGCAAGTCCAGGTCTTGTCCCCGGCGCCGAGTGGGGGTCCTGCCCCCAGCTGTGCCTCGAGCTGGCGCCAGGCCCTTACTTGTCCCTTCATCTGTGGACCAAGGAGCTGGGTCTCCACTCGGGTTGCACGTTAGAGCCCCCTGGGCGCCTCTGGGGAAGTGGGCGGTGGGGCCTGACCTGGAGGCACAGATGGTCCAGCTTGATCTTGCTCTCAGGAGCCCTTCCCACTTCGGCTGTGCAACGGGGGAGCCCCGAGTCTGGGGTGGGCCCAGTTTCTATATTTAAAAAGCCAAGGGTGCTGTTGGTGCCTCTGATGATTTGCTTTCACTGGACTGAGGGGTTTTAAGATTCTCCTCTTCCGTGACTGGAGCATTTTACTTGTTTGTTTTTGGTCTTTGCCGAAAAGTAAGGTGCTCGGCACCAAGGGACACCAGCTCATGCTTTCCCTTTGATTTGGCTTCTGCGGTGTTTTCAACCATCGTTGCTGTGAATGCGTTAAACCCTGTGCCTTAGCAACACACTGCTGACCTATCTGCTAGAACAAGTGCAAGTTCAGCCTCATTGCTAAGGCCACACGGTGCCACCCATTTGTGATGGTGGTAAGAACAGAGGCCTTAATTCCCTAAGCCAAGCTCATCGGCCTTAAAGTTCACACAGAGACTCGAGTCTAACACGGAGCTGATGTGAATGTCCGCTGTCCCTGTCACTATCCGTGGCACCGTCCACACTGTATCTACAGGAAGTAGCAGGAGGGAGGGACAGCACCGCCCTCTGTCTAACACTGTCTATAACATAAGAACAGGAGGAGCAGAAAACTGCAGACAATGTCTGAGGGGCGGAGGCTACCCTTGAGTTCCATCGTCCCTTGCAGGTGTGGCATTAGAGCAGCCGGAAGACGGCTGATTTGGATGAGGGTCAGGACAGGAGTCCCTGGACCGTGGCTTGCACACTCGGTCTTGTGCTGGGGTTGGCGTGCCATGTGGCGCCCTGGGGGCTGTCCCTTCCAGAGCCGCCGCCTGCCTTCCTGCTGGCTTCTGGCTCAGTGATTGCCTTTTGTCTGTGTTTTTCTTGCTACAGATGGGCAGAAGAAAGTTCAAGAAGAATTTGACATCGACATGGATGCGCCCGAGACAGAACGTGCGGCCGTGGCCATTCAGTCCCAGTTCAGAAAATTCCAGAAGAAAAAGGCGGGGTCCCAGTCCTAGCGGGACTGCCGGGAGACACCGAGTTCAACCATCATCCGTCAAGCAATGAAAGAAAACACCCTCCAGAGCCGTCATCTGCACACAGCACATGCCCCTCAGCCCCACATGCATGTACAGAGACCCGACACTCACTCACGCCCTGTAGAAGGTGTAGGCCATGCCGCTGAGTGTGGCTTTATCTCTGTGTTCATCTCCAATACCACTCCTCCTGCAACTGCTTTCCTTGGTGTTGTAATAAAGTGGAGCTAAGATGCGTGATTCAAGGGTCTGCCTCTGTCTCTCCCTTTCTGTTGATCTGTGATGTTCCCACTGCTGACAGACTGTAAGCTGGATGCCTGCTTTCTCCTTCCCTTCAGGATGGAGCTGAAACACAGTGCCTCTGTCCTTTCTCTCTCCTGCTGAGGGCCAGAGGCCCATTCTCACCTGCTGGGCTCAGTTGGAGAGTCCTAAATGTATGGCGAGGGCAAGACATTTTGTTCTTGCGAGGGGAAGAGAGCCCTGCACCCAGGGATGCCAAAGACTCAGAGCTTTTGCTGGGCCAGTGGTTGGCAAACTCATTAGTCAACAGAGCCAAATATCCACAGGACAATGATTGAAATTCCTTTTGAGAGACACATTTTTAAAACTTCTTCTAATGCTACTTCTTCAAAATAGACTCACCCAGGCTGTGGCATTTTGTGGGAGAGCCACACTCATAGGGCCAAAGAGCTGCATGTGGCTCGCGAGCCACAGTTTGCCGACCACGGCACTGGGGAATTGTGAGCCATCCAGGAGAATGAGGGGCGGGGGACACACTTGTGTTCAGCAGTTGTCATCAGGTTAGCTCAGCAGATTGCAGAGCGCCAAATGAGTGAGGGCCATTCTGCCCCTTACCTGCCATTGTACCTCGGCTCCAGGGGGCTGGTCCTCCTGTTTCTCTCCTCTTCCCCCCCCGCCCCCCCGCCACCTCTGAGCTCCCCACACTGTGATTGGCTACCTCTTAGGGTTATGCACCACACCTGCAACTTGGAGACACTCTGTCTTCTCCCCTGACCCATCACTCCCCTTGCAAAGCTCACAGGCAAGTAGCTTTGCACACCTCACTTCCAAGGGCTACAAAGGCATCAGAAATGATCTGTTGGGTGGCGAGGATGGAGCCCAGGGCCCAGGGGTTAGTATGTGCCTGCCTTGGGGCCCCTGCTGGCAAGATCCCTCATCCCCCAGAGTCGGGCTATTGTTTGAACTTCGTCGGGAGAGAACATGTGTAGGAGTCACCCCTCGCCCTCAGCACCCCGAGAGGCTGCATGACAACCCTGTTCCTCTGCGGGGTGTCGGTGTGTTCCCCTTGGCAGCTCCTTAACCAAGGGAAAGGTAGTGAGAAAGGGGGGGGGGAGTAAGAGGAACTCTGTGTGTGCCTGTGTGTGTGCTCACATGTGTGTGTGCTCACAGTGTGTGGGGGGTGCAGGTGGAAGGTGTGGCAGGAGCTGCAAGCAGCATGAAGGTGGTGATGGGCAGAGGCAAGCTGTTCCTGTTTGCCATCACAAAGGCAGAGGTGGAGATGAGAGGCAGGCTAATCTATCTGAAAATGTGTTTATTGTTACGTGTAAGGAGATTTCTCCTGCTGGACGATTCTCAGTTAGGGATGTGGTGGGTGGGGGCAGAAGTTCTGGGTTCCTCGGATGGGTTTCTAACAGAGAAACACTGACTGGAATCACTTTGGCCCTAGGGACGAGGCAGGGCTTTCTGGAGGCACCTGGTGGACTTTGGTCTCCACTGAAAAGGGGAAGCAGGTTGGGGAACACACCATAGAAAGCTTCCTGAGGGGAGTGTGTGTGTGTGTGTGTGTATGTGTGTGTACGTGTACAAATGCCGCATAAACGAGAAGGGTGTGATGTAGGCTTCTATGGAGTTCCCTGAAGTATCCATGGAAAGGAAACTGGGAACAAAACATGCGCTTACATAACTCAGATGCAGTCCCTCCACACCCTGTGTTCCCAGCACCCCATTGTTCCTCATCCTCTGAGCGGGTCACAGACCGGAAGCAGCGTCTCCCTCACGGGGTGTGTCTGCCCTGGTGGCCCGGCCTCCTCCCACTCTGACCTGCCTGGAAGCAGACCTGGCTTTATGGTGAGGTTGCTCCCCCTGGAGGGGACCATCCCTGCAAAGCAGGACTCCCCAGGAGGCCAGTGTCCCCAGGGACAGGCAGAACTCACTCAGCAGCAATGCCTCATCGGTGCAGGGGAGTGGGGTGAGGGCTCTGATGGTGGCAACGGCCCCTCAAGGGTTCTGATACAACTCCCTGCCCCCGATCACAGGTGTGGGTACCTGTGACTTCCTTTGAGCCACAGGGATGAGTCTAGCTTTTTACCTCTCAGCTGGATTCATGAGAATATGGAACTCCAGCCAACAGCAAGCGGATTTTAACCTGCCTCCTCTGCCTGGGCTTTGGGGGTGGTGAGTCTATGACCTCTTAGCGCCCGAGGGAAGTAGAGTGGCCTAGGCTCCTGGCTTCGGAGGCCCTTCCTTCCCCATGGGCTGCAGTCTTCACCCTAGAACAGTGTTTCCCAAACTTCTCTCATGATGAGAAGCACCTAGTGGAGTTGTTAAAAGGCAAATTCCTGAATCCCAACTAAGAAGTGCTAAACTAGTTAAGTATACAATTTTACCTATATGTTCCCCAAAATTCTAGTTTAGCACTTCTTTTTTTAAAAAATATATTTTATTGATTTTGTACAGAGAGGAAGGGGGAGATGGAGAGTCAGAAACATCAATGAGAGAGAGTCATCGATCAGCTGCCTCTTGCACACCCCCTACTGGGGATATGCCCGCAACCAAGGCACATGCCCTTGACCGGAAGCGAACCCGGGACCTTTCAGTCCCCAAGCCGACGCTCTATCCATTGAGCCAAACCGGCCTCGGCTAGTTTAGCACTTCTTAGTTGGGATTCAGGAATCTGTAGTTTAACAACTCCACCAGGTGCTTCTCATCATGAGAGAAGTTTGGGAAACACTGCTCTAGAAGGAAGGAGGGAAAGCGCTCAGGTGCCCCCAGACAACTTGGAGCATCACTAATTCAACCGGGCTTCGCACATGTTTATTAAACTCCTACCACGCGTGTGTGCTGGGTGCCATGGCCTTCCTCCATCAAGGCACGTGGGAGGCGGCCAGATGAACAGATGCTAAGATGGGAGGGGGGGTCATGCTGCAGCGGGACAGAGGGGAGGCAGCTCAGGCAGGCTCGGCCAGGCTGGGAGGGTCCGCTAGATCTCCCTGAGGAACTGCCCCCCTCAGTGATCCATCAGGAAGACGATGGGAGTTCCAGGCAGACCGGGTGTGTGGCTGGCTGCTGGGGAAGTGTCTCAGCAAAGCCCAGGAGGAGGGGGTACTCAGGCTTGCAGACCCAGAGGCACCCTTTGTCAGAACACCCCAGCTTGAAGGACGTGGCTCTGCAACCCCGACTTGGGTGAGGAGCACCCCAACACTTGAGACGTGGAACTGGGTTCATCTTTGACATACAGGCCAGTCAGCCTAGAGACTGCAGAGAAGTCACCTGCCTCGAGACGCTGGTTTCCTTATCATCAAGGTGATGATAACATCGACTTGGCGAGACACATGGAAAATGTTAGGAATGAAAATGAGATTAAATGCCTCAGAGCCCTCTCGGGGTAGGTGTCTAATAAATGGCAGGCATTAGTAATGGAAGACCTATATGATAGAGAGACATCATTGCTTCGATCACCAACACCCTTCCTCCCCACTCAGCCCAGCCCAGGGTTCCATGGGCTTCTGCTCCTCTTGGCTACAGCCGGGTGGCTCAATGGTAGAAACCTGACCCACGGGGTGAGCTCAGCCCGTTAGAATTCTTCTCTTTTGAGTCTGGCCTAATGGTCACAGGGAACAGGTCAGCGAATGGCAAGAAGTTGCTGAGGTGGGGGCCAAAGCCCGTATTGTGGCAAAACAAACTTTTGTTTTTGTAGGAAGTTGCAGAAGCCCATCTGGAGAGAGATTTCAGAAGGATGCATGGGAGGATTTGAGCTCCACAAGAGACAGAGGGCAACCTAGACTGAATTAGCCCTCACAGAAAGGCTCTCTGCCCTGGAGGCTGGCCTGGGCAGCGCATTGCCCCTGCAGCTTTCCTCAGGGCTCAGGTGTAGCTCGGGCTCTTTTGTGTGATGTGATTGCACCGGCCAGCAGCCTCTGCAGCGCAGGGCACCGAGCCAAGCCGCTGGGCGCAGCGGCCGTGGAAATGGCCTCGCCGCTGCAGAGCTGTGAGCAGGAGGGAGCCAGGCAGGCTCTGCGCCATTTGCAAGGTCCCTACGGCCTCTGGGCCCCACACTGCAGCCCGGCTCCCAGCAGAGGCAGGCACGCACAACCATCCTCCTCCCGCTGGTGAAGGGCGGGGGGGAAGCAGGGAGCCAGGATGCTTTATTAAATTGATAACCTGCTGGGTGAGCAGGTGCGGTGAGGGAGCTCCAGGGTGCTGCCAGAGGGCGGCTGGTCGCAGTTTTGGGGATTGTTTGGGACTAATTGGACTGTTAGCCTAAAACACAAAAAGGCCTTTCAAAGGGAAAGGCGAACAATCATTGAGTTGTGATCAACAAGAATAGCTGTTCCGTAATCACTAACTCAGGCAGAGGCTCAAGCAGCCTTCTGTTAGGAGGCAAAGGTGAGGGGTATTGATGAGGGAGGGAAGGGGTCAGGTGAGGGGTATTGATGAGGGAGGGAAGGGGTCAGGTGAGGGGTATTGATGAGGAAGGGAAGGGGCCAGGTGAGGGGTATTGATGAAGGAGGGAAGGGGCATTCCATCCGCAGAGGGAAGGCACTTCTATTGGTGTGAGGACGGGGGCAGCGACATTAATTCCAAATGATGCTCTTAACAGTCAGCCCAGTAGTCACCAGCCCAGTGGCCATCATATCCGCCTTCTTGTTATCTTCGCAGCAGTCTTTGGAGCACACGGTTCTTAAGCTCAGTCCATAGGTCACTGTGCCCTGTTCTGACAGTCCAAGACGCCCCGGCAGTTC